CCGGTAGTCACCTCTGGAAGGAGGTAACTGATCTTTCCAGGTCTCTTTCGCCGCCGCGGGAACTGTGAGTCGGCAGCGGCGCGGTCGGAGGCCGCATGGCCGAAGCCCCGGACGAGCGCGGGTCGGGCCCCGCGGCCGGGGAGCAGTCGCCGGAGCCCCACGTCTCGTGCCAGGTCTTCCCCGAGCAAGGGTTCTTCTCCAGCTTCACCAACGACCGGAAGTGCCAGCTCATGCTCTTGAAGACGCTGGAGACAAGTAGGAGCAGCGACCTGGAGGCTGGGGATCGGTGGGTGGGGGGGTGGCCTCAGGCCTTGGGGTACATCCTCAGGTGCGCGGGGGGGCCGGGCTCCGGCACCTCTGCGCAGCCTCGGCCCATTCGGCACCGTGGGGGCAGAGTGCGGGGACTGGGCCTCAGTTTCCCCTTTTCATCCCCACCGCTGCTTGTGGAATGAATGAGGCACCAGGCGAGGTAGGGGCTTGTCAGCCATTTCTGGCCGCAGAGCTTCTCTGGATGCTCCGTGGACCCTTTGCATTTCCTCCTGTAAATTATGCAGCAAGATGAGGGCCTTAGGGTCTGCAGCCAGAGGTGGGTTTTGTTGTTGTTCCTTTCAAAGTTCCACTTTGTTGTGGAGCAAACCACACCAATTCAGCAGTTTCTGCATGTCCATTGTAGTGACAGTCACATGCATTGAGTTGTGTACCTGTACTATTCCTTTTCTGATTTGTGAAATTTCACGTAAGCCCACTGCCCCCCGATGTTTCTAAGTTTTCTGGTTGCTGCTGTCAGTTTATTCCCTGATGGTTCTTCAAAGAGCGTAGTGCTCAAGGCAGACCTGTTTTGCTAAGCTAAACAGTTGTTTGACTTAAAAGGTGATTTTGGGGCATTTTTGGTTTCAGGTGTATGATTTAACTCAGGACAGCAATTTCATGGGTTCAGTCCGGCTCCCAAAGTGCCAGAAAGACTATGAGAGTTTGAAATTCTGTTCAGCATTTCTTCCCTTTTGATCATGGGTGAGGCGGTTTTAAAGAGCCCTGTTAATTAAGGCATACCCACTACTCATAATGTAAAAAAAAAAAAGCCGTTTTGCAAACCTGTTATCCATCACTTCCATTTAGATGGGCTTCAGAGTGTGGAAAGCCCTGACATGGACTGTGAACTCATGTGTCTGCCTTTTTTTTTTTTTAAAGAGTTCATAATTTAATCATATTCCCCAAAGGGCCCTTGAGCCCTGTCTTCATTATCTCAAACAAAACTCACTGCCATCAAGTGGATTCCAATTCACGGGGACCCGAGAGGATGAGGTAGAACTGCTCCTGTGGGTTTCTGAGACGGTGACTCCAGGAATAGAAAGCCGTGGCGGCTGGGGTTTCAAATGCTATCAGGGCTCCTCTGTCGCCACTTTAGCAGAAATTTCACAAGTGAGTGGATTTCACAAGCAGAAATGTTTTTCCGCACAGTTTAGGTGGCTCAAAACTCACTTCCATCATGTTACTGGCTCATAGTAACCTTTTGGAGAGGCTGCCTCTGTGAGTTTCCGAGACTACTGCGTGACAGGAGTCGAAAGCCCCTTCTTTCTCTCAAGGAGCGGGTGGTGGTTTCAAACTGCTGACCTTGTGGGGAGCAATCCAAATTCGTAACCACTGGGGCCACTAGTGCTCCTGTGTTTAGGAGGCTCAAAGCCTGAATGCAAAGTGCTAGCCTTAAGGGGAACGCTTTCTCTCTGTTGGCTCTAGGGGAAGGTACTGGGCTCTTCAACTTCTGGGTGCTTGGAGATCTCCGGTGACTTGGCTTCTATCTTCTCTCTCTGCTGGCTTCTATAATTTCTTTTTATCTCAAAAGGGAATGACTCAAGATACACCCTTCAGGAATCCTGCCTCATTAACACAACAAAGAACCCGTTCTCAGGTGGGATTGTAACTACAAGCCTAGAGGTTAGGATATGCAACAGGTTTGTTCCGGCCATACGTCAGTCTATAACACTCCAAAAAGGGGTTAACTGAGTTAAGGTTAACTGCTGGAGGTTACATTGTGCCACTACCATCTAAGTGATTTCTCTAGGCCCAGGACATTACACTTGGAGATGATTTACCGCATTTATCCTGACTTCTTCCTATTTATACCAAGTACATTTAGAGAACCAGAGTCTCAAATGCACCTGCCCCAGAGCAGATTTACTTTTTACATGGCCATCCCCAGTTCAAAAATCAGTCCCCCATTGATTTTTTTTCCCTGGCCATCTTGGGAATACCTGCTAGTATTCCTACTGCATCCTGTTGAGGCAATGACTGTGCCTTCTTAAAGCTGGAGGTGAGCAAGCTCCGGCCGCCTGTACCTGTCAGGATTAAAGCCTCGGAAGCCTATGGGACACCTTGCTCTGTCACATCCCTGTGAGCATGCTCTAGCACACACCATTGACAGTGTACAGGGACTTCAGGAGGTTGGAGGAGGAAGGGAAATGTGAAAACACAACGACGACATTGTATTTATTCTCCACATCAATCAGATGTCTCCTGGGTTTGGTAGCGGGAAAAGTAAGGCGTTTCAGACTGGAGAGCAGAGATAGATGTGGGTGGTGGAGTTAAAAATTTGGATTCCAAGTCTGCTCTTCTTGTTAGCTGTGGAAGAGTGATCTATCCTCGCTTATTTTTCTTAAATCATTTTATTAGGGGCTCATACAACTCTTATTAAAATCCATACACACATCAATTGTGTAAAGCACATTTGTACATTCATTGCCCTAATCTACCCTCTCTTATCAGTATTATCCATAGCTGTGAAAAAATGAAGATGAAGAGATAAAAATAGCTAACATTTAGGGTGGTTACAAGGAACAGAGTTGATCAACCTCAATGTCAGTGGAGCAGGAGCTGGACAAAGGGCAGCTCTTTGGCTCTGTAGGAGCCCTGGGCATAGTGGGATAACACATTGGGCTGCTACCTGCAAGGTCAGCAGTTTGAAAGCACCAGATGCTCTGTGGGCGAAGGATGACGCTTTCTTCCTTTAAGATTGACAGGCTTGGAAACCCACAGGCGGTTCTAGTCTGCTCTGTAGGCTCCCTATGAGTCGTAATCACTTTATGGCAGTGTGAGTTGGTGCTGTGGGTTAGGCAGTGGTCCCTAACTGTAAGCTTAGCAGTTCAAACCCACCAGCTGCCCTGTGGGAGAAAGATTGGCTCCTGTCAAGATTTACCGTCTTGGAAATCTTATATAGGGTCACTATGAGTCATAATCTATTTAGAATCTATTTGATGGCGGTGGATTTGGTTTTTTTGGTTAGTTGACCTTACGTGGAAGAGCCAACTTGTGGAGCATGAGTTGAGATGAAGAGGGTGGGTGCTGAAATAAGCCCTAGGGAGAATACACTGACCCCAGCCTTCCCAGGAGAGGGCTGCTGGGAGGACCCCTTGAAGATATTTCAGTGCCAACAGACAGCTTGCAGATCTACTTCCGGTAGCGGAGATAGCAGAAACCAGGTTTCCTGGGAGACCCTTTTTACCCCTCCTTTTCTTCAAAACTCTGAATTCACCTTAATCATTTGGACAGGACCTTTGTGAAGTACTGAATCACGGATTCCCGTGGCTTTCTAGAAGTGCTCCTTAAGGAGACGTCAGACTTTTGCACCCACTTCAGTTTTATAAAACACACTTCACTGCTTGAATAGTAATAATGCACTTACTATTGTGCTGATACCTGGCATATGAGGGGCATTTAAAAGTGGAATTGATAATGGAATTTCCTACGAGTTTATTTAAGATCTCATACATTCAACTGGTAGTGCTTATTAGTGATAATTATTTGCTGTCAACTCCTTAGAGAGGGCAGGTTAGAAGAACAGTAAACCTATTATCTAACTTTCGCACTTCATTGGCTTTCTTTTACTCACCTATTTTTCACGACCCCCCCCCTTAACCTTTGGCATTTTGTTTTTTAAAAGAATTTTTGTCTATGTCATGTCATTTTCTATGCATGTATGCTGTCAGACAAGATGCCTGTGGGAAGGTTGATGCGACGGGCATTTGGCTTCAATATACTTTCTGTAATAGCCATAACTTGTGGACTGTTAGACGTGGAAGGCCCCCAGGAGTCACTAGTGCACACACCCCACCCCTAAAACCCTTCCAACCCCAATAGCATATGGACGTCTACTTGACTTCCTGTGTTTGAGACTCTGAAGCTTTTTTCAGCAGCCTTAACTACTGGAAAAATCTCTTATACTGAGTTGAACGTTACCACTTGTAAGTTCCATTCTCCGGCCCTTGTTCTGCCTTCTGAATAAATATTGAATGACGCTGCTGTGCCTCTTGTTTTGTGACCTTCCTCGTTCCAGATTCCCAAATCCTTTCTTGTGTCTACATCAGTCTCATCCCTTATGACATAGTCACTATCTCCGATGGAAGCACCTGAGTTGGCAGGTCTCACTTGGAGTGAGGGACTCAAAAGGGACACAGTGTTGCTGGTGCAGTGTGGCCAGGACAGAGGACATGAGTGCCGTGGTCACTGCTCTCTGCAGGCATGGATACTTGGTTGCCATTTGTTTTGATAGAGGCAGACCACAATTACTTTAGTCTTTTTTGGTATAAACTGTAATACAGAGTAGTTGATCGTGGATATTCTCTAAGATTCTTTGTTGCCCCCAACTTGGTGCTTATGCCAGTTATCTTAAGTGAAAGAAAAAAAGTTTTTATTTATTTTGTGCCAGTGTTTTTATTTTTTTTAAAGACATAGGTTAATTTTAAGCTGGCCTTTTCATATCTATTTTTTATCGATTCTAAGGCAAACGTTCCTTAATTAGAGGCTTGTGAGTACTTGGATACACTCATTTCTCATTTACCCACAAGTTAGGTTCTAAAGATGGGGCCACTACAGGAAGATTGGTGTTAGTTTCATAAGGCATCCCTGCCCCCCTGCCTGCCCACTGGGGACCCTGAGCCTTCGGAACCCAGTGTACTGCTTGCCCCCTGAGACCTTGCAGACACATTGCTGCCTGTAGGTGCCGTTGGGCACCACACTCTGATCAGGGCCTGGGCGCCTTCAGGCAGCCTTGTGCTCTTGCCTCTGGGCATTGATATTGGTAGGTTTTTAAAACTATTATTGAAAATGTGAGAAGTCATATTTAATTGAAGCTGTTTTCCCCTCCCTAATCAGCATACTTAATCAAACCATTATCTTTTTAGATCCATATGTCAAACTTCTGCTTGATGCTATGAAGCACTCTGGTTGGTAAGTAGATCTTTTTGAAGAGTTTCTCTATATTCTGGCCACTAAAACCCAACCCCTCCCACCCACCCCCAAATCGGCACTACCTAGGATTTCTCCCTGCAGGCTGAAACGCCTTTTCCATATGGCCGCTGGTGTGGGCATCTTTAGGTCCCCCCAGCCAGGCCTTCTCTGCGTATCTCCTCTACCTCCATACCTCTGGATCTGCCCTTCACTTGCGGGGTTCGCAAAGGCAGTACC